AAACGTTGACTATTTATTGTTGTTGTTAATTAAATTATTAAATTATTTTATTTAATAATAATGTAAGGTAACGATTAAATTATAGTAATGAATTTTCGTATTTAAATTTTTAAGTTTAATGAAAAAAAAATTTAGATTCTACTATGACTTACGGGGTACTGTCCGTGCAACCTTAAGTATAAATAAGAATTTCTGGAAAAAAAATCTAATTTTTACAATTTCGGAGAAAAGTACTTTTCTATTATTCGGAAAAATTGAAATAAATACTCGCTATAAATTTACTTGTTTAACTATTCTTTTGTCAATGTTAATTAAAAGAAAATTTTTTTTTTTTTTTTTTCAATTGAGTCAGTATTTTCTCTCAGAATATAAAAGAAAAATAACAACCCTTTAAAAAAATTAAATGAATTGAAAATTAAACGTTTTTGGATTTTTTTTATTAAGAGAGGAATATTCTTGGATGTGTCATGTATGGTGAGTAGTTTTTAATACAACGTTGTTAGGATGTTGTATACTGGTGTTCTTGAACTATTGATGTTTATTTCTCGGAGGAGCGTTCGTAGAGAGGATCGATTGGGTTCAGCTGGCCAGCTCGATTCTCGAATGAATTATCGCTCATCGGCTGTATTGCCCTTTCATTTCCAGTTATACGCGGAGCAGTGAAGCACTCTCGTATGGCTCGTATCGTATAGTACTGCCATCACCGACGTTTTCTCATCCCCCACCTACATCCCTCTTCTCCGTTCACTGCCGCGTTTGAGCTCTCCACGCCCGAGGGACGATCAGACAGCAGCTGCATCACTCCCGCGGCGTTTGAACTAACTCTCACGTTTCTCCATCTCCGTTTCATGGACTACATCATATCCTGTGGAGAATTGAATCATTGGTAAACCAAAAGAGCAAACTTCGTAATTGTTTTGATTCATTATTTTTTTAAATAAAAAAACTACTTTCGTTGTTTCCTAAACTGAAAATGTTTTAATTTAAAATTATGTACTGTCAGTTTAATTTTTTTGTGAGGCTTGGTGTTGTATGAAAGCATCGTCCTTTGTAATTTATGAAAAAAAAATTATGAAATAATCGTAACATTATCAAGTTCATTAAATCATTAAAAATGACAGTTTATAACGTATCGATATAGAACGTTGTACGTAAAATTAAATGATCCGAACAATGTCAGTGTTTATTCCTATCATTATTGTCTTTCATATAAAACAACACTGATAAAAAATTTAACTTGATTCAAAAGAAAAAATCTTGAATCAAGAATACCATTTTGAAGAAAATAATTTTCTTGTGTCAAGAGGAAAAATTCTTGAATTGAGAATAATTTCTTCACGGTGAGAAATTTCTATTATTTTTTATTCTGCATGGATTTTTAATTTTACAATGGTGCATATTACTAGTGAATCTTATTGACTCAGAATAAAATTTTACAATGGTCCATAGTAATTTCCGAATTTGTTTTGAAATCAGACATAGCAAACGGTAGAAATTGAAATGTACCATAGTAAAATGAAATATGCAATAATTTAAATTTCCGAATGTACTGTAGCAAAAAAAATAAGAAAATGTTTGTAAAAAATAAAAAATTTTAATTAAAAAATATTTTTAGCAATCAAAAAAAATATCAAACCAAACAAGATTTTTTTTTTTGTTTGTAATAATTTTTAAAAATATTTTTTTAAAATATAGTTTTTTTTTATTTGTTTTCTATTTTTTTTAATTTGAACGTAGGATTTATTTTGGCAGTTAATTTTATTATAAATAATTATAAACACAATATATAACTTTTCCATTATTTTTTATTATAATAATAATATATTATTAGAAAAGTGTTGGTTGCAGGTTAACCATCAAATGTTTGTTTTAATCTTAATTTTTCTCGGTAAATTATTAAATATTTTATTATTTGGGAATCTTACAAATTTTTATTAATTATTCATATGTTGATGGATTTATAAACTAATATTTATTTAAAACAATGTTTATTGCAATTAACATATGAATAGTTAATAAAAATTTGTAAGATTCCTAAATAATAAAATATTTAATAATTTACCGTGAAAGATTAAGATGAAAACAAACATTTGATGGTTAACCTGCAACCGACACTTTTCTAATAATATATTATTATTATTATTATTATTATTATTATTATTATAAAAAATAATTTAAAAGTTATATATTGTGTTTATAATTATTTATAATATAATTAACTGCCAAAATAAATCCTTCGTTCAAATTAAAAATAGAAAACAAATAAAAAAAACTATATTTTAAAAAAATTTTTTTAAAAATTATTACAAACAAAAAAATCTTGTTTGGTTTGATATTTTTTTTTGATTGCTAAAAATATTTTTTACTCTAAAATTTTTTATTTTTTACAAACATTTTCTTATTTTTTTTGCTATAGTACATTCGGAAATTTAAATTATTGCATATTTCATTTTACTATGGTACATTTTAATTTCTACCGTTTGCTATGTTTGATTTCATTTGTTTCGGAAATTACTATGGGCCATTGTAAAATTTTATTCTGAGTCAATAAGGTTCACTAGTAATATGCACCATTGTAAAATTTAAAATCCATGCAGAATAAAAAATAATAGAAATTTCTCACCGTGTACGGAGTCGGACTGAAACAATTGTATAGAAATTTTTATACACACCTTTACTCGAAAAATGTCAAAAAAAAAATTCAAATTTTTGCAAGTGACCAATTAGACTACACCCTTAAATAAAAATTCATTTTTATCTATTTTCACTTCGCTGAAAAAAAAACTCCAAATTTCCTCTATAGATATTTTTTTTTACTCCGTAACTCTGCGTGATAGGAGTGAAAAGTCGCTCCGAATTCATCCTGGATTTTTTACAGTGTAATAACTAATAACAACAGTAATTATAGTAACAATAATTGAATACTAGACGACGAAGTTGAGGTAACAAGGACACTGGGATTCGAAATCCGTAAAATCTTGGAGGAACGGGAAACCAAATGGATCCTGTGTTTAATCACTTATAACATTATAATTACCCACTATCTCTGTAGTTGGGTTACATCCACTAATAGCGTAGGTCAGTATCCATCTTTACTTTAGCAACAATCTTGTGTACTTGTTAATGTGTGTGCATATGTATATGTATGGGGATTAAGTGTGTGTATAGGGGTTGTTCGCTGTAGATGTACATGATCATATGAAAGTTGGTTCATATCCGTAAATCCCCGGAAGTCTATCTCATCTAGCTAACGAGCTGTCTTTTACCTTAAAGGTCTCTGACAACTAATTATCTTACTACATTATCCCCCTTGTTAATTTATAAATCCTTATTAATATCATTTCATTTTTTATTAGCTTAAGATATTAACTTTCATTAGCCACAATTTCTGTTTATTGCATTTTATATTATATTTTAGTTGTCAGACCAACTCATAAAAGTTTAGCCTCTGTTTTGTTTATTAATATTGATGATAATAATAATAATTATTATTATTATTTATGACGTGAATATTATTTAATTAGGAAACAATAAGTTTGCTTTGTGATATTACTTTATAAACATCAGTAAATAATTGTTCAGTCGCAATAATTAACTTTGTGAGCATTATTCGTTTTGTGTACGAGTTATATTTGTTTGAGCTTGCAAGCAATGGTAATTTAGAACTTCTTGTAGCAAAATTTTCGTTAATTATTTTTTAACAATGGTCTGAAAAGTTTTATTTGCTTTTAAATGCATTTTTATTCGCTATTTTTCTTTTCAATTATTATGAAACAATATAGACTGTTAGCTTTGTTTGTATTTTTCTTTAATTGTAACTCCGAGGTAAAAAAAAATTAAAAAAAATTTTTTTTATTTTTTTTTTTTAAGTTTATTGGTTACTCAGATAACGAAAATTTAAACCTACATTGATTTTATGTATCAATACTATATATTTAGTAGTTTAAAAAATAGTAAAATTTTTGGTAATTATTTACAAGTAGGGTTAACGACATTTTGGACCACAACTAGGTGAAAAATTAACATTTAAAAATTTTTCTTTATTCTGCTTATTTTTACGGCGCATTTATGATAACAAATGTCGTAATGAAAGGACAAAATAAAGATTTCAATAGGTTTTTGGCTCTAAAAAGTTGGAAAAAATATTGGCTTTCATGTTTTTGGATAAAATTTCTATTTGATCTTTTTTTGATGTTTTTGATATATATATATATATATTTTTAAAAGTAAATAAAAAAACGAATAAGGTAAAAAGCCCCATTAGTGGCACCTTTAACCCCTATTAGTGGCGCATTTTCTTTCAATAAAAAAATGTTCTACTTGGAATAAAAATTGAAAATTTTTTTGATCTAAAGATCTTAAAGATTAAAAATAATATATTCATTATGAAAATTAATAATTTCATTAATTGAATAGTACCAAAATCAAAGAAAGTGTCAGTAATTGGATCCCCGCCACTAATGGGGTCTTTTACTCTAATTAAAAAAAAATGATCAATTTGATAAAAAAAAATTTTTTTTCCTATGACTAAATATAGGGCAAGATGAAGTTGACCCCACTTGTAAATAATTACCAAATTGTTATTATTCTATTATTTTTGTAATCAATAAAGAATTTATATAGTATTAACTATTAGTGTCAATGCAGTCATACATTGACAATTTGAATCAATACAGAACTATTTTCTATTTTAAAAATGCTAAATTGACAATTTCTTATAAAATATTATCTTAATAATTTTTTTAATTTGTATTAATTTTTAGCGACAATGCAGTCCTTTTTTTCATTTCATGGGTCATCTACATTAATTTTATGTATCAATACAAAATTGTTAATAGCTTAATTCGATACTATTTCAATATATTTAAATTTTGATCGGTCTGTTTGACTTACTAGTGATTCACATTACTATGTGAATAAAATTCTGCAATGAATCAGTGCAGAAATTTTTTTTTAATTTTAAAAATAAATTAAACAACGTTTTGCATTATTTCGTCAATAATTTTTGAGATCTGCATTTATTTCAAGCGCCGTTGCAGTCATTTTTTTCCATTTGATAGGTTTTCTATTACACTGAGATAATGGAAATTTTTGTTTACATTGATTTTATGAATCAATACAGTATTTTTACTAATTTTAGTAAATAATTGTCTAAACCATTCAAGTATTTTGATTCATCTTATTATTTTTAAAATAATTTATAATTTTTACAACATTGACTTACATTATCAATGCAATTTGTATTGTTACATTAGATTAACACAGTTTTTCATGATTTTAAAGCAAAGAATTGACCAATTTTCTGGCTTATTTTTTGATTCTGAGTGACAATGCGATCCTTTTTTCCACTTTCCAACTCTTTTAGTACACTAGTAATAATTTGTCTACAAGCAATAAAATTATAAAAAAATCAATTATTTTTTCAGCATTGAATGCATATGTCAATACACTAATCTTCAACATATTCACACTAGTAGTCTGTTTTATATCAGTATGCATATCACGGCGGAGTTTATCGACCCCAAGCTATTCCAAGTATGAAAATCATCATCGTTCGTCTTCTAGTTGTTTTGTGAGACCCGCGGTTATTAAGTTTGTCAACGTGAATACCAATGGCGGCCACAGCAATAGCAATATCACCAAAAATGGTTTATCCACTGGAAGCAATAACGACAAAACATTAGCGACGAAATTATCGCTATCATTTGATCAAAGATATGAGGTGCTAGCCCTTTTGATCTCCACATGCATCGTTCTTATTCTTCAGGCGCTTGTGTCTATTGAAATAATTATCCGTATCGGTAATCAGCCTCGGATTAATGCGTAAGTAACAATACTTAAGCCCCTAAAAGCCCCTATTATTGACAGGGCCCCCACTATTGACACCCTATTTAATTTTGTTATTTCATTATTAAAACCTTTCAATAATCACAATTGTTGAGATTTTATGACAATTTTACATATTTTTAAAATTAAAAAATACACGGAAAAAAGTAAACTGTAATAAATAACAGTCGATTTATAATAAGTAATGATCAACTGCTAAAAATTACTATTTCAAACAGTAAAATCGTGATTTTACTATTCACTTTATAATATTTACCATTTAAACGTTACAATTTACTCTTTACATGGAAGAAAATACTATTTCAAACAGTAATATTCACTATGTAAATGTCTAAAATGTTAAAGTATAATAATTAAGAATTCAGACTTTGATATTTATCATTTCGTACCTAAAAAATGATCTTATGATCTGTAAAAAGTATAAAATAAAGTTAGTAAATTTCTAATACAAGCAACGTCAATATTTACAAAGTAAAATGGTAAATTTTAAACGCAACGCTAAAAATCAAACTGTAATTATTGACTTGCTTGAACTGGTCAAATGTATTATTTTAAAAGTATAATTTTTACTGTTTCAAATGTTAAATTCTCCCAGAGTGAGACCCCCTTCTCTTTCATCTGAATTCCCCTTCTCTTAAAAATATGGACTATATATTGAAATGGAAATTTTTACTGTTTGAAACTGTAATTTTTTACGATGAAAGAGTCGTTATTTACTATAGTGACAGCTACTAATCACTTTTATTTTGGATATTAAATTATAAATTGTGGCTTTTATACTTTCTACATTAAGTTCTGTAATATTTATATTTTTGCCACCCCGATGTCCGCTTTACTGTTTGAAACTATAAAAATTAACCGGAATCCGAGTGGATATTACAGTTTACTTTTTTCCGTGTAGTAAAATTTAATTCCAAGGTATAAACTATTTACCGCAAAAAAATTTCATTTTTTCAAGTAGGCCCAAACTGCTTGTACATTTGTAATTTCTCAACAATATTGTTAAGAAAGACGTTATTATCAAATCCAGATTTCTCAATGTTTTTTTATGTAATTGCATTGTTTAAAATTATTTTAGATTATTTACAGTCTAAATAACCATATAATCATTTACTTATAGTTTATGGAGTTAAAATTAATTTTAAAATAGCGGATGTCAATGATGGAGACACAAAAATTAACTTGCGTCAACTAACGACATAGGCCATAATGTAGGATAACTTAATCCCCTCAACATACATATCAACTTATTAATGTTTACATACTGACATGTGATTTTATAAGAATCAAAGTATTTAAGACTAGAAAAAATTGCTAAAAAAAACCTGGTAAAAAATATAGAAAAGCTAGGTCTTAAACGAATTTTAAAATAATAAAAATTATTGATAGTTTTGCATTAGTTAGTAAAAATGATTATTGTTAATATAAATTTAACTGTAATAAACGACCTGTCAATAATAAGGTCAATGGTAAGTCAATAATCGGTTCTTCTTTGAATTTTTTGCGCTGTCAATAATACATACATTCGACCTGTTGGTTTTAAGTTGATATAATAATTATTAAATTTATTGCTATTAAAGTTATTTAATTAAATTATATCAGTAAAAACAATGATTAAGGTGCTCTATAAAAAAAAAAGTTAACAATATTGATCTGAAACACGACAAAAAATTCAAATATTCATGATTACTTTTATAGTGTCAATAATGGGGGCTTTTACCTTATATTAAATATTCTTAGACATTTAAATAAACTTTCTAAAATATTTCTCAAGTGAATTGATAAAATAATAAAAAAAACCTTGTACTAACAAGGGGAAATGAGTGTAGTTGATAAATTATAATTACCAAGTGTAAGGTCATCTATTCTTCCTCAACTTTAACGTATCGATATATCATGTGACTTGTATTTATCAACTTGTATGCATGTTTATTTATTAGTATTATTACTCAATTTATTTTTAAAATATTAATCAACATAATTTATTAATTTTATAAATTAAAAAAATTTTCTGACAACACAAGGCTGAATTTTAATGTTGAAATAAATTTTTATTTGTCGAATAAAAGTGGCAGAATAGGATTTGGAGCAATACTCGGGTTCTTTGCCCATATCGGAACGATAGTAGCGTATCCAGATGCTGGGCTAAATCATGTAATTTGTTGCATACCGTGTCCTACTTTCAAAGGATGTAACCCAATAGTCTCTGGAAATGTTATCAGCGCCGTTGTCCTGTGTACTACACACTTTGTTATACATTTTTGGTATGATTTATCTCGTTTATATGTTATGTGTTTTATCATTATTCATTATCATTATCAATAATGGTATATTTATCTCATCTGTGTTATTACCACACGTAATTATGAGGATAATTATAGTAAACACCAGCCAATTTTTTAAAAATTCATAAATAAGTAATTTTATTCGAGTAAGATTAAACAGACTAAATTCATAGTTTATTATTAAATTATTATATTTTATTACTAAATGTCTCTCAGTGTATCTATAATTATTTTTTCAAAATCAAAAAAACTTTTTTTCAGTAAGAAAGTTACTGTAAAAAAAAATTTTATTTCTTTAGCTATCGATAAAATTTTTTTTAAATTTCCAACAAATTCATATGAATTTTTTTTTTAAATTAAATGCTTTAAAACTAATTGAAAAATATATTTTTAAGATTTTGAAACTACTCAATTACCGAAATTTATTTGAAATTTTAAAAAATAATATAAAACAATCATCAAAATTTTAAATTGATTAAAATAAATAAAATATTACTTTATTTTTACCATATTTTCGAGAAATAACAATTGAACTCGTTATCATATTAAATTTCTATAAATTGCATCTAAAAGCTTGTTTAATAAGCTTCAATTTGCACACTTATACCTATATTTTCCTAAATTAAATAGTTTAGGAATGACAGCAATTAAAAAATTTTTGAAAACCGCAAAAAATTTCACTTCCACCGTATTTCCGTGCAATAATAATTAAACGCGATTTCCTATCAAATTTCTGTAAATTACATCTAAAAGCTTATTAAGTATGCTTTAATTTGCATACTTATATCGCGTTACTAGAACCATAAGGGCGTATCTCAAAATATACGCCCTTATGGTTTTGCAGAACCATAAGAGCGTATAAAAAACTTTTTTTTGCTCCAATCAATGTAAAAATGTTGAAAACATTAACATCTATGGAAAAAACAAAGAAAAATTTTTTTTTTTGTGATACGCCCTTATGGTTTTAAGAAAACACTTGTCTAAAACCATAAGGGCGTATCCTGTTTTTTTCGGTTTATTATCAATTATAAATAATAAACCGAAAAAAGAGTCAGAGTAAATTTAATTTATACCAACAAATATTTATTTGAATGAAAAAACGAATGAAAAATTAAGAAATAATAAATTCATAACATCTTGAGAACAATCGGTATGTCTTCAAATTAATAAAATTAGCCTCAAAGTTTTTCTAAATTGATTTTTTTTTCTTTACTTCAGATCTATTTATAATTAACATTAATCCGGTCAAAATCGGTTGATTCGTTCGAGAAATAGCGTGAACAAAAGAAAACCGAAAAAAGTGTTTTTTTCACATAATTTCGATATTTCTTTTCGGATCATTTCCGGTGAAATAAAATAATTTTTAGAGCTCAAAAAACCTCGTTGATCGCCGCCAAAAACGTAATAATCGGTTGATTGGTTCGAGAGATATCGTGAACGAAAGAAAACCGAAAAAAGTGTTTTTTCGGGATTACTCCGAAATTTTCGGTTCTATCAATTAAAACATGAAAATAACTTATGAGGATGATAAAACTGCGTCAAATGGCGCCGACCTCGTGAAAATTTGTTGATCCATCCAAAAGCTATTGTGGTTTGAAAATTCCAAAAATAGTGTTCTACTCTCTAAGCATGAGTAAGTGAATATTCACTTATTTAAGTGAGAACCGAGCCACTGACTTGAAAAAGTGGCTCGATTGGCACTTAAGTTAAGTGAATATTCACTTACTTGACGAATTTTCACTAATTCAGTTTTAGGGAGTATGAAACTTCTATCAAACTTTTGAGCTGGGAGAGCTCAAATGCATTGAAATATTATTTCTTTAAACTCAGAGAGCTCAAAATAAAAATTATATTTTGAGCTTAAAAATCTCAAAAACGTCATAATTATGATTTTAAGCGGCCAGGAATGGAATTAGCGGGAAGTTGCACGGATGGCATTTAGGGTGAACCGTTTTTCTAATTTTTTTCTTACTCTGACCTATAATTTCATAATAAATCGAAAAAACAGGATACGCCCTTATGGTTTCAGAAAAATGTTTTCTTAAAACCATAAAGGTGTATCACAAAAAAAAATTTTTTCTTCGTTTTTTCCGTAGAGGTTAATGTTTTCAACATTTTTACATTGATTGGAGCAAAAAAAATTTTTTATACGTCCTTATGGTTCTGCAGAACCATAAGGGCGTATATTTTGGGATACGCCCTTATGGTTTTAGTAACGCGATATATTTTCAAAATTAAATAGTTTAGGAATGACAGAAATTTGAATTCTTCAAAATCCTCAGAAATTGGCACTTTTACTGTTTCTTTGCGAAATAACTATTGAATTCGATAACTTGTAAAAATTTTGTAAGTTGCATCTGAAAGCTTATTAAATAAATTTTAATTTGCATACCTCACCATCAGTCTAGCCCAAAAATTACTTACTCTCTCTGTCTATTTAATCAAATTTTACTCTTGCATTCATTTTGGAGATAATTATCGCACGCCTTATAAGCGAAGCGGATGAGGAAGTGCTTCACTCTCGCCTTACAAAAATCAAGTGCATTCTTGAACTAAAATTGTCCCTATCTACTTTCTATGGCACTTGTAGAATAATATTTACACACAAATGTCATGGAAAAAAACTTGTTTCAACACTTATCACATTTTTAAAAGACACTAGAATTTAATTTTCGCGCGCAAGCGCGCGCGTCATATTTATTGTCATGATATATTTATGTGTCGTTTATGTATAGTATATTCACTTTCAACCTATCAGAATGAGAATATTTATTTTCGACCAATCACGTTACGAATAGTTTGATGCCACATACATTTCATCTCTATTTTATATTAGGATTTTGCTTTTTAAATAAATAAAAAAAAATGTTTAAAAAAATTATTCCGTGAACGTCCGTGTGTCTGATGTATGTATGGAAACTGGCGTGATTACGATAACTGCCAAAAAACTTAACTGATCAAGTCCATTTTTTTTTATACGATTCAGTATTATCCAAAACTAAATCCTTCCGAAGATCACGGTCTAATTCAATGTAGTTTAATTATAATTAGCAATAAACTAAAATCTACTTATCGTTTGTACATCTATATCTATGTAAATAAGGTTCGTTTACAACACATGCGCAGTACCTTTCTTTTTTGGGTGGACAATGGCGCGAAAGATTTAAAGTATTTGTATTTTATTTAAATCAATTTTATTATGGAAAATAAGATTATGAGGCATACACTTTTGGATTTCCTAAATTTTTTTAGTAGTTGTTGGATTCACTATGAAATCTACTTCCATGTTGGCTGCCGAATGGCCTTTTATTTTATTAATTGATATCATTCCATATTAAATTAAACCATATTTTATGACCATCATTTTTTAATCTAAAATTAACTTCATTAAGATAGCTTCTCATAATGAATGAATATAACTAAAGAAAATAATAATTTTAATTGAAGGGAATTCCATATAATTGATACCGCAGCCGCATTTATTTTAATTGGCCTGACTACGAGGACTATTTTACCACTTGCTTTTTATACATTCAATGTTATGTTAAAAGTAAGTTAACCTTTTATTAATTTATAAAAATCTTTTTTTTTTCCAATTAAACTAGTGTTATTTTTCTTGTGAAAATAAATCCAGTATAATTTTAGAAAGCACCCGATTATCTGATTGATGAGCTAGATAAGTGTCTAAAAGAGGCGTTGAATGTCGATGGGGTTCTAGAGTTTCGTAATGAAAAATTTTGGATCCAATCATTTGGTAAATTAGTACGTATTGTTAATTAAAAATTAAAATATTTTATAAGAAAAAAAAACTACTTGATTCAAGAAAATAATTCTTATTTAGGAGTTATTAAAAGTTGAAATTAAAATTTTTTTGTAGAAAATTGAATACTCTACAAAAAAGGAGTTTGTAAATTTTTTCCCAACTCTAATAATTTGCTTAAAATTTCAATTTCAATTCTTTACAAATCCTCACAGATTATGTAAAAACGATTTATTTCAAAGAATTCAAATCGAAATTACGGGCAAAACATTGAAAATACAAAAAAATGATAAGAGATTTTTTTTATCGGAAATTTAACTCTTTTACAAAAAAGATCTTTATCAATTCTTTTGTATCTCTAATAGTCACATCACAATTTTGTTTTTGATTTATCACAAATAACTTCTACGTATATATATATAGCCAGTACATAAAAATTATATGTTTTTTTTCTAAGGATTGATTAAGATACAAGGTAGCATTGATTAAAGATATTACCGACTTGTAATTTTGAAACAGCAATATTACTCGCTTGAATCAACAAAAGTTTTTTAAACGTATCATGTCAAAGTTTGCGGAAATAACACAATTATTTGATATTTATTTTATTTAAACAATGAAAACAGAAAAATAAAATCAGGGAAAATGTACACCTGTTATGTAATTTTTAAACTTTTTTACAAGTACACATCTTGGTTATTTTGTAATTGATTTTTTTCTTAAGGGATCATTCTGGTTCCGGAGCTCGAAAGAAAAGCCAATATTAATTATTTTTTTGCCCAGAAACTATTAGAGATATTATTATAAAATTTATTCAACTTAACAATTACACTCTTGAATAACACTAAAAAGATCTAAATTTATTTTTTTTATGAACACACAACGGGTGAGCGGAGCTCCTCGAAAATGTTGGTATAAAGCTGACGTACATGATAACTCGATAACGGCTTATCTAAAACACTAAAATCAAAATTATTTAACTTCAATATATAAGTAGGTGTTGCACTAGCTACGAAAAATTAATATTTATTGATAAATAATAAAATGGTGGAAATTAAAAAAAAAACTGAAAATTGAAACTTTTTTTCACCGTTTTTAGTCTTAAAAAAATAGTAAAAATATCTGAGGCTGTAGCTACTACTATGTAGAATACCTATGTCGTTCAAATTTCATTAAGATCGGGTCAGTGGTTCCGGAGGTATTATGAACCTAAACCAGAAAAACATTTTTCTGAGATAAACGCGTTTAAAGTTTTTTTAATTAAAAAAAAAATCTTACCTCAAGTCACTCAGCAATGCTGGTACAATACAAAATCCTTTCGGCCTTTTCAAAAATTTTATTTTCTTCCACTTGAAAATCCACATAAACATCGTAAAATAATCTAGTTACAGTTTTTTAATCACTTAGAAATTTTAACAAAATACTTTTAGATATATGCACAGAAGGATTTAGTTCTAAATTTAATAAGACTTAGTAATAGATACTAAATCATTTATTAAAGCTCATTTATTTCCACCAAATAAATATTTAGTAGTATTTAACAAATTATTTATTGCTACTCAATAAATCCTTTATTGGTATTAAATAAATTCATTTTTTAACTAATTTTAGCGTATAGTCTAACTTTTTTACTCAAAATAAATCAAAATAATAAAAATAAATGATTTTAAGTAAAAATATAAAGTATTATAAAGAAAAGAATCTCATTTAATTATAATTTTTTATTCGAGACATTTATAAAATTTAAAATTAAACAAGTTTTTAACATATCAATATTAGACAAATTAAAAAATTTTAGTTAAACTCCACGGAAAAAAATTAACTGTTGCTGCAATAGGAGGCAGTCCTGTTGCAGCAACAGGAAAAAATCTTGTTGCATCAACAGGATTTTCCTGCAGCTGCAATATGACTGCCTCCTGTTGCAGCAACAGGAAAAATTCCTGTTACAGCAACAGGATATTCCTGTAGCTGTAACAGGATAAAGTCTTCTTGTCGCAACAGGATTACTACTATTATTGCGACTTAATAGTAAAATATAGTTGGGTCATTCCATGTCAAATTGACCTACAGTTGGAATTGACCCCTTTTGACTTGGATAAATTTTGATCAGAAATTTTTTTTTATCATATAACGAACTTCTGCCAGACAAAAAAAAAAATTAAAAAATTTTATTCAAAA